AAAACTGTGTAGACAGGAAACTTTCCTTCAATTGACTGTTAAAGAAGTTTTCAGTATCTGTTTAAGGATTTTTTAAAAAAACAATCTTTTTCAGAATTAACAATAAAATGGTGATTAGAGTGCTAATTTTAGAAAGTTATAAATGGGCTCAGGGTCCAGATGGATTTAATAAAGTTTGAAAATTTATTACAAACCTTCCCATTGGAAACTATTCATGATTTTGCATTTGGAGGAAAAACAACATAATAAGGAGAGACTTGGAAGTCTGAACAGTAGAGGGCACCAGAAAGAAATAAAACAATGGATGTATTGAGAGATACTGTGTTTATTAGCAATGGACCCAGAAGTTAACTTTAAAGATTTCTGTCATTATTGATAGATTTTATCATATGGATGTAACAAGATTGACAAGACTGAAGTTGGTGCAAATGTGGACTTAAAAATGAGAAGCTACAAGAAGGATATGGAAAAAGATGAAATATTGAATGTACGAAGGAAATTGACTGGGGTTCTAATAACTAAAAACTAAATAATAGATCAGAAGAACGACTTGGACAACCTTTACTAAAAATCAGAGGAGTATTTTGGATAACCCTTTTTTATTGTGTTTACAAAAGAAATTTGTTAATGTTGTCAGTAATTTTGTGAGAAGAGACAAATGAAAATGAAAAGAAACCAATTCTATTTGGACATTATTTGAAGGGACTAACAATTAAGATTGTTGAGAGCAAGTCTGTATTAGTTTTATATGTACATGTAATCTTCAATAAAACTACTTCCAATAAAACTATTTGTTCAAAGAAAGGGGGAAAAAGATGTTGTGCTGATTAGAAGATGCTTTCCGTTGCCTTGGATTTCCTTCCTTGCACCAAAGAGAGAACATTGTCCTATTCTCTCTGCGCATAACTTTGATCCACCTTCCGTCATCACCATCTGTTGTTTTAGTGAACTTTGAGGAGACTGCAGTTTAAGCTGCTGTTAGCTTAGGTGTATTCGGTGTTTATTTAATGCACAGCAGGCCATGCCCACCACCGTGTGTCGGTAAGCTCTCTGTTTTTCACTTTGCACAATTAAAAGATCACCTGCAGGTGAACCATTGCTTGAATGCCTGTCAATGGGGATTGCTGGCTGAGCTGAGGCTGGCTGGGAGGCTGCTTTCCGCCTCTTTATTCGCTTTTCAACCACTGGGCTAGTTGCACAGCTTTCAGCAAATGGGGAAACAACCAATTATAACGATAAGCTGATTGATGAAAAGGCTTAGGTTGTGTTGCATTTCCCTCAAGGATTAACCCCTCTGCCCTCTTCTGTTGCCAGCAGCTGTTGCTTCCTCTTCAAAAACAAGTCGATACCCATCACAAGAAGACTACAAGTCTATTTTTCTTCCAGTGCCCGGTTCGTTTGTCATGGCTTTTTCCCTAAGCAACAGCAGATTTTAGACAGTTTAAATGAGTTTTGGTTTCACTTATAACTTACTGAGCCAGTTAATTTTTTTTATCGAGGGTTGTTGGTCACCTGCTTAAGGAAAACCTTCTTCCAAAAACTGTGTGTCGTCAGTCATTAAAGTCAGTTAATATCTGTGCATTGCTAGTATTTAAGATTTGAGAGTAGCTCTTCTAATGGAAGAAGGATGACTTTAGCAGAATGCTTAGTAGCAAATATTCTTCTACAAGAGAGGAGGGGCAGCTTCTCACAGTGATGTCTGTAGGGAGGGTCAGAATTGACAAGGTGGCAGACGGGGTGTGTTGAGACGAAAGACCTGCCCGTTTTGTACATGTGCAACCAGCTCCTCAACAAGACGTAGTAGACCAGAAGAAACTGGAGGACATCAGGTTTTTTGCTCCTTCCATTTGTTCCCTCCTGTGTTTTTGCTGTTCTGCTTGTTGCTCAGAACTGGCCAGGACAGAGATAAAACCTTATCTTGTGCCAGCAAATTGATATACGGGAGCCAAAATAAAATTTTGCAACTTGGGATGTCGTTCTTTAGCGTTGAAGCCACTAGAAATGGTCCAAAGTACTGCATTAGGTTGCCCATGCTCCATTCCCTTCAATGCCACTTATTTCTATGGAAACATCACATGATCCACCTTTGGAGAGAGGGATTGAGAAGGTCTCTTTGGTTTGTTATTTCTCTAAAGTATTGTTTTTCTGCTTGGGTAAACTGTGGAGTTTCCCCAAGCTGTCCAATTTCTTTCCATTGTTACTTAGTCCATTGTTTTATGCAGGCTTTTGTTATCCTTCAAACGGAATCCATTGTTAGAGAGTATATAATGATTATCTGAAGAGTGTATTTTGAGTCTGGAAAGGAATATTCCCAGAGTGAGTTGTTTTAACGGGTTTACCAAAGTGAGTTCATGAAGGTTCGTGTTCCTAAGGGAGGTGGTTCTCAAAAACATCTCACAAAATTTCAACAAATTGCTGATTTTCCAGCAACCATCAGAGAATTTTGACTTTGGGGTATTTTCAACCACTTTTACTTTCTTTATCCTTTATAAAGAAAGCAAAATTTTCTTCAGTGGGGATGTCTTGTACCTCACACCAATGTGCCACAAAGGAAAAAAATGTCCTTTCTTTCATTTTTTCCATGCAGAGCTTTAGGTTTTCCTGATATTTTTGAAAGAGTATAATGTACCTGATGTCTTACCCACCATTGGCTCTCATTATGCATACATAGAAATTTTCAAAAAGAGATCATTTAACTTTATATCATGGGAAGGCTTTCAAATCCTGTTGACTTGAATTCATTAAAGCAATATAACTGGACCAAAGATGTCCGGAGTGTACTTGAACATAAGACTTCTTGAGTTTCCAGAGGAAATACCCAGTGTAAATCCAACAATTACAAATAAATAAAATTCAGAACAAACATTCTGAATGTGAGCATGAAATTGCTGTCTAATTTGAAAAAGGTTATTTTGAAGTTGTTGAAAATATTCCGGTGCTGTTTTGTTGTGCCAGATACATTGCGTCTTGCAAGTTCAGGACAGCTATTGTAGACTTAATATGAGGTTTTTTGAACTTGAAATAGGAAATTTCAAGCTTGAAATTATCCCACATTCAAAGCTCATGCACGCCATTGATGACTCAAGGTTTTCTGCATGAGTGAGTAAAACTGTCAACTATTTTAATATCAGTTTCTTATATTATTTTTAAAGAGAAATATACAAATATTTATGACATCGAGAAAACTCTCAATTTTTGCCTTAATTTGATTTTGATTTTTTTTTTTTTTTTGTCAACTGAGTTTAACCTTGTCTCTGTGCCTAAAGGTTGAATCATTTGGTCTGGATAGGTGACTCTTCATTGACATATTTAACTTTGTCTGTTTGACCAGCAGAGTCTGCAAAGTTTCCTTTCCAAGTCTTCCCAGAAGTACTAGGAAATGAAAGGAACAGGAGTTGAGGTCTTATTCACATATTCTGTTTGCTAATAACTTTCCTCTTGTTCTACTTTATTACATGGTAACTATATTTCCATAGATACTAAGTTTAAAACTAACCAAGTTGGACATTTTCTGTGATTACAACTGCTGCTTCTTTAACTAATCTAATTAAACATGTTGGACAAACACAACTAGTGGTTTGTGTGGGAGATAACTCATAGTACCCAGTTATAATTTGGAGATTACATGAATGACATTATATGCATCAATAAATCACATGTTAGTGTTCTTCGGTTTAACACGTGGAAGGGAGAGGATAATAAAAATTTCATTACTAATTTCAGATGGACTGGTACAAACTAATTGAAGGGACTCCTCTGTATGATTAATAATCACCATCTGTAATCACTCACAAACTTACTCGAGTAGGACTCCATTAAATATATTGCATATTTCACTCAGGAGAAGAATTAATTAAAGTCTGCTTGGTGAGACGGAAATAAGGAATTCTATAATAATAATAATGATGATGATGATGATGATGATGTAGATAAAAGTTCCTCTGATACTGGATGTTTAAAATAACTTCAGAATAATTTAATGAGCATGATAATGGTGAGTAATGGTCCACTGTATTAAGTTAGATGCACGGTTAAAACGGATCCATTGAAATCAAGTTTGTTGTGATTAATTCCATTTGTTTCACTCAGTGGGTTTATTCTGAGTATGGATCCAGTCCTTTCCTTGCTGGAGTGTAATACTGATAGAGATATCAACGTGCCTTGGGATTGTGCAATCACAAATCTTTCAACAGCCTCAAAAACACTGTAGTCAGACCCCAGCTATGTTAAGCAAAAAACTTCTATTACCTTTGGTTATTCCCAGAGAGACTAATTTACTCTGAATTTGCTTAGCAGTCCATCAAGTCTTTAAGCAAAGATTACGCCAGTTCAAATCAGGATCCCTATGGTATAACTTTTGAGTCTAACTGAAATTACAGTAGACGATCCATCTTCATTTGTTCCAGCTCAATATATAAAGTCAAATCTTCTTCAGTTGAATTTGAGGTTTCATCAAACATCAAGATGCACCCATGTAATTTTCTTGGAATGTTGTTGATGTCCAGCTCAGGAAAAAAAAATTTATCAACTTCCCAGTCTATCTCCAGTGTCCCTCATCTAAATAAATCACTATCAAATGCCCTAATTTATTAGGCATCTCTATTTACTGGGCCTGTAAATCCCTCACTGCAAGGCAGAATGAGGAAGGAGAGGAGGAAGAGGAGGAGGAGGAGATTAATCAGCCACCAAGTTCTTTGACAGCCTGGTTTACTTTCACCGCTAACTCTTCCAAACATAATTGCTTTCTCCAGTGAGTTTCTTTGCATGACATAGACAAAATAAGTGAGACGCAGTTTTCTGATGTTGCCTTCCAGTGACATGTCTGCTGTTATACACTCCAGTACTTGCTTGTTAGTCACTTTTAGTTAGTACAGGTACTTAGCACATAAATTCTTTCAGTGATGTGGGATGACCAGAAGAGACACCAGGCAATTTTATCTCTACTTTGGAACGACTGAGAGAATGACTTGTGTCCCTACTTCCTCTTTGCTTTTTGAAAGGTTCCTCTCTTGCAAATGGAGGCCTGAATCTTCATACCACTGTGAAACGGAAACTGGAGAGTGAAAAGGGTTACGTCTTCGATAAGAGACTCAGGTACAGCGTGCGTCAGAATGAAAGCAACTGTCGGTTTAGAGACATTGTTGTACGCAAAGAAGATGGATTCACACACATCCTCCTGTCCAGTCAGACCTCAGATAACAATGCACTGACTCCAGAGGTACGCAGGTGAACATCCAATCAAAGAGAACAGTGGGAAGTGATCAATAGCCATAAAAGCATCCCTCTGTTTATAATTTACCCCCTAATGAAATAACTCCCTTGAATTCCATTTCTAATTTTAATTTTGAAGACTAGAATGGGGGCTGCAGGTTTGAAGTACATTCATCACTTTGCCGATGTCTACTTATATTATTGTACCTTTCCTGTCACATTCATATGTAGAGTTGTATTCAGCTCCAGGTATCAAATTATTGAGGCTTCCTATATCTTGGTTTTGGTTTTTTTGAGCTTTCATTCTTGGTCAAGGGTACAATCAATCTGAAGGACATAAATATTTGAGAGAATAGCTGGAAGACAAAGAAAAAGTTACCTCTTAGATAATTACAAATTGGACTTACCGTAGTTGAAAGCATGGGTGTCTGTGGAGTTATTATGCAATTAATCATTCTTCTTGAAGAGTACTTGAGGGATGTCACAGAGAAGAAAGGTCCAACATATTCTCCAAAGCCTGTGAGGGCAGGACAAGAAGTAATGAGTAGAAGCTTGTTAAAGAGAGATCCAATCTAGGACTAAAGAGAATTTTCCTGACAGTGCAAATAGTTAATAATCATTACTTAATAACACTAATTAATAACAAATAGTCAATGGAATAACTTGTCTCCCAGAATTGTGGATGCTCCATTGCTGGATGACTGGGTTATTTGACTGGGTTAGAATAAGGCTCCTGACTTGAGCAGGGGGTTAGAGTAGAAGACCTCTGAGGTTCTTCCCAGGCTTATCACTTATGTACTATTACAAATTACATAATTTGCACGATGATGTGTTAAGTATGACATCCCTGAGACTTCCGCAGGATGTTTCTGCTGGAAATACCAATCAATATAAAGAATATTGAGGTACGGCTGCCATTCATCTTCTATAAAATAAAATATGCAATTCCTTCATATGCTTCTTTTGACTGTATTTGCAGGCGTGAAGGATACCGTGCATGAAATGACACGATGGTCATGTTGATGGCAAGCTTCCTGTATTACTTTTCTGATTATCAAAATAGCCCTACGCGAGCAGAATTTGAAGTGTTTTAGAGGCATTTTTGTAAATGGGTATTCCCACCAGCAAAGCAGCTGGTGTCTATAGAGACAAAAAGATTTCCAAAACACCCTCATCGGCCTTACACCTTCGCAATTGAAGTTCTTCATTTGGGCTAAGGCCCATTGCTACTAAAAACCACTTCCCAACCTTTACACAGTCCTAGTTAGCAAAGATCAAAGCTTCCTTGTATCCTGCGTTTTGCCTCCTCTTCATCTGGGTCATTATAAGTGGTTGCCTTTGATGTGAGGAAACATCTCAAAAGCGGATAAGAAATATAGATTTGAAAAATGTTTGAGAAAGGCCGGTAGGAAGCAAAGACGATGTTAATCCTGAGTCAGATTTGAAACCATGAAGAAGCCAGGGATAAATCTCCATGATTCGTGTCAAAGAAATGGACTGTGATTGTTTCCCTACAGATTATGAAGGAGGTTCGAAGAGCCCTGTGCAACGCGTCTGCTGATGACAGCAAGCTCCTGCTGCTCAGTGCCGTAGGCAGTGTATTTTGTAGCGGCTTGGACTATTCCTACCTAATTGGAAGGTTATCCAGTGACCGACGGAAAGAAAGCACCCGGATCGCTGAGGCTATAAGGTGAATTGGGGGTTTTGGAATCCTCCGGTCAGAAAAATCCAGCATATGACCAAGGATGTGGTTTTATTTCATTTTAACATTTGAATTGGGTTGGTTAGGTCAAATGAAAGGGGTATTGATATTTAGATTATTTAGATTTTCTTGATATTTGCTTAGCATGCTTAGCTGGGTTGATGCAAACTTCTTAATATTCCTCACCCTGTCTGTAATTCCTTAGCTGCCACATTGGGGACTGGTCCCCAGCTGAATATAGAAGGGCACTGTATAGTAAGAAATTTTAAGAGATGTTATCTTTATCCAATTATCAGTAAATCTTTGTGATCTAAATTATTATTTCGCCCATGGCAATATGGGCTAAGATGGTGCTATCATCTTCATAAAAATAGACTTTCAATAGCAAAGCAAGCAGACAAAGAATAACTTATCCTTTACATTTGGTAGGTTCCTTAATATTGTATAATTTCTTAAAGGTTGCTCATTGCAATTTGTGCCAGTCCAAATATGTCTACATAGTCACCCTAGAAGACTTGTTCCTTCCTTAGTCCATTCTGCAATTAGCACCTTATTGATTAAATCAAGATTGTCTGAATTCTCTTAGTTCTGGTTTAGTTATTCTTATGTTTTCCCTAATCTGTTGTCTTCCAAACACGGTTTGATATATTTAGAAGGCAGTAAGTCAAGGAAAACTAAGAATTACTGAAATTCTACGCCAACATAGCTTTGGGCTCCAAGACTTCTAATTCAATATATCTGGAGAACACCAGTTTGCAGAAATCCAAAGCAATCTTTCTCTTAACTCGCTTTTTGAATTTTGTTAGCATTTTTTTCATGGTTTGATTCCATTGTGTTTCTGCTCTGTTTGCCGGACTTCTTAAGGCAACGTTTGAAGATTTTTCTTCTTAGGGAAATGATTTCATTTACATGCAAATAGACTCTGAAAGTTAAAATATCGCCTTCTTATACATCTCATATTACGTTCGGTGCCAATCTACATAATATGAAGGACAGGTTTTCAGATGCAAACTATGGATTGTCCTATACAATTTGGACTCATGCCACACTTCTGCCAATTGTAGCCATGTAATCATGGTTCATTGATGTCAGTTATGTTTATACCAAATAACAATATATTTTCATTTAGGAAGGCATGATATAGCGCTGCAGCACAAGCTGTATGTATTCAGAAGTTTCTAGGTTTGGACTATAAGCAGTGGTGGGATTCAAATATGTGAACTACCAGTTCTCTGTGTGGATGCCGCTTCTGGAAGTCCATTCTGGGCCTGGGCAAACTCACTCAGTGCTGTAAAATGTGTGGATCCAAAAGTTCCTAATAGCTGAAAAGCAGTTAACAAGTGATTTCCAAACATGATTAGGAAAGGAAGCACACAAACCTAGTGTCCTTTCGAAGGCACCGATCATGGTTTCCACAAAATGGCTATACCCTCATCACCCAGAGCTCTAAATTCACTGGAGACCAACGCCTTTCAGTCTCCTCCAGAGGAGCAATTGTGTGGAGTGCTCGTGGGCAATCTCAAGTCATCTCCTTGTCTGGAGAGGGATTACAAAAAAAGTGTTGATGTCAGAACCCATTTATTAAACAAGGGGACTCTTTTCTATTTCTACTTCTTCCATTACTCTGCATTCTGCCGTACTCCTGAAGGGGAGGGGGGAAGACGCTCTCTGCTTCTCTCTATCGCTACAATGTATCCCTTCCATTGTTCTGCATATTCACTCTTTGAACTATCTCTCCCTTGATGTTACCTTGGGGTGAGAAAGAAATGTGCCTCCGGCCATCTGGCTTATCTCCCGTCTCGGGAAGGCGCGAAGACCTAACAACCTCGCTGTGAGCCTGGGAAAGACCAATGTTATCAACTACTTTCCCACAACAGACTTGTGGGACATGGCCCATTCGAACTGACCGGATGAACTATTGGGGTGGGGTTTGCTTCTTTTAAATCTATTGATCTGAGTGAGAAACCCTCAGATCCTACTTATTATGCCTACTATCAGCTTCCCCTAATAAAAGTTCCTTTTGGAGGAAACTGCTTCCACGAGTACTGCTTTCTTAGGATGAGGTTTTGAAGTGGGCCCTGACAGTTCTACTCTCTGGCTCTTCATTTTGTCACAGTCCTCATCTTTGCTTTTAGATTAATATTTTGGTATAGGAAGAAACATATAAGAGTAGGAGAGATGAGATAAGAAAGAATCATCTTAAAACTCAAAATATCAAGCAATTAATATTTGGGGAGAGATAAGATTTACAGATGAACCATCTTGTTGATGGTGGTGGTGGTGGTGGTGATGATGATGATGATGATACTATCCATTCAGTCACATCTTACTGTTAGCTATTTTGTGGGCCAGGTCTCACCACATCTTCTGATCTTGCACTACTTCTTTGAGTTTTTCTATGCTCTGGCTGGTGTCAACTTTGATGATGTTCAGCCACTGTGTTCTTTGATGCCCTGGTTTCCTTTTACTGCTAACTTTTACAAACGTAATTGTTTTCTCCAGTGAATTCCCTTGCATGACATGGCCAAAGTAAGCGAGACAACCCTTTCTGTAGTGCATGAATATCAGTTCTTCATATTGCAAAGCCATCCAGAAGAACATGGCACTTTGAAAGACATCAACCACAGCTACAAAACCTCTAGTTCATGTTAAGACAGTGATCCAAGGCAAGATGGGGTACTCTGGTTTGGATGGCACAGCTATGTTCAGAAGTGTTATGTTTCTGCTTACTATAGAAAAAAGTGGGATGAGAACCTTTGATTGGCTTTTGGAGAAAGATGTGAAGAGTTTGACTGCCTGGAGTCCTGCCTGGTGCAGTGACAAAAGTTCTCATGAAACAAAATAGTTCATTGTGACTTTCATCCATCTCTTCCATTTTAGGGATTTTGTGAAAGCCTTTATTCAGTTTAAGAAGCCCATTGTGGTTGCCATCAATGGTCCTGCTCTAGGCTTGGGAGCTTCAATTTTACCACTCTGTGACATTGTTTGGGCAAGTGAAAAGGCCTGGTTCCAAACTCCCTACGCAACCATTCGGCTCACTCCGGCGGGCTGTTCATCGTACACATTTCCACAGATATTGGGTGTTGCACTGGTAAGATTTCCTTCTTTCAGATTTCTGTGGTCCCCTTTCAGTTAAACAACTTGAAAGGCACTGTCCTACATTGTGGTTTTCTACTCCACACCTATTGGATGAATATTGGACCAAAGAAATGAACTTCTCTTCTCTTTGTAGCAGACCTTTTCCCAGGCATTTGGTTTCCTTCCCCTCTGGATTTCTGATTTGTATGTGCAAAGCAAATATTCATGGCTGAAAGTTGTTTGCTCCTGAAGAGCAGCTGAATCAGTTGCTGGCAAATATAATTATTGAAGTATCTTGAGCCTGTTTCGTGGTCAAGAGGCAATTTTCTATCTAAAACTCCCATTTCTAAGTAGCTCTCCAGTTCAAATCAGGCTTAAAAATCTAATGGAAAAGTAAGATCTTTGGTTAACCCATCTACAGTCCCCACTAGACCACGGACAAAAGAGATTCAGAGTGTTTCATTTGATTCATTTTTACCAGTGTCAGGCCTTATTTTTCTATTTATTCTATAGCTGCATCTACGTCTAAATAGGCCCCTACCTGTTTTGTGCTAATCTGTATTCGCTGTCACCTTGCGTTTTGTATTTGCTCTTTGTGGAGGAGAAGAATCAACTTGTCCTGTTCAAATATATTTTCTCCTTACAGGCCAATGAGATGCTGTTTTGTGGAAGAAAGCTGACGGCGCAAGAGGCCTGCAGCAGAGGGCTTGTCTCCCAAGTCTTTTGGCCCACCACATTTGGACAGGAAGTGATGTTGAGGGTAAAAGAAATGGCGTCCTGCAGTGCCGTGGTAAGAAGAATATGAGATTTTATGGAGAACTTTGGAGAATTTGTTTGTTTGTTCGCCACCCATCTTACCTCAGGGTAATTTCTTGATGCCACCTGTTTCCCACCTCAGCTCTTTCAGAAACTCATTCAGAAGGGTCTTGAGGCAAAGCACTCCTTCTCTTGGCTTTTACTTGCTTTTTTTTATTAAGTGTATAGGTGGCTTAACTCCATCCCAACTAGTGTAAAGTGTAAAACGTGAGGTAATTAAAAATGGAATTTGGAGACCTTCCAAAGCAAATCAGATCACCAACACCACAAGAAGAAACATCGCATAAGAAACCTCCGGCCTCTCTAGTCAAAAAGCTTAGGGATGAAATTGTAGGTCTCTTTTATATAGTTGATATCCTGGAAAGATTAGGGAAACGTTCCTCCACCTTGGCCACTTTAAGATATGTGGACTTCAGCTCCCAAAACTGATGGCTGATGGTTGGCTGGGGAATTCTGGAAGCTGACGTCCGCACATCTTAAAGTTGTCAAGGCTGAGAAACACTGGATTAGGAGACAAAATATACTAGGAATTGCCAGTGGTTACCGAGTCTTTTTTATGAAAGAAGAGTAGATGATCCTAGGCCTCTTGATGGCTTTTTTGATAGCTTCTGGAATGCTTCCAACCATAATTGCTGAAAATCTGTGGCATAGTTAGCTTCATGAATAAACAAGTTTGAGATAAAAAATGCAGGCAGCTATAATGTTAGCTCTCCAATAGCTTTTATGTAGGTTGCCTGCTTAATAAGGAAATGAATGGACACTTCTAGAAGTTCTCATATAGAAGCCAGAGGGAGAAGCACACCAGAAAGTCATGATCCTGTCCAGGATATGACAGATTCTTTTCACATTGGTTACTGCTGTGATCTCCCCAGCTCTAAAAACTGTCAAAGATGGTCTTCTTCAAAAAGGTTACCAAGGCATGACGTTAAACTCCTGCATTGGTGTCGAACCTTAAATTATTTTTCACACATTATGCAAGTCCTGAGTTTTCAGGGTAGAGGTATGTATGTAAGCTGATAGAAAGGCATTTTTCATACCTTTGTATGAAAGATTGTAACTAGATTCCCTCTGTAAAGACAGAATAGCTTCCTTTTTCGCTTGAAACAGCAGCAGCAAAGCACCAGGGATTTTTAATTAAATGTATTATAGATTATATCTCCTTCCAAAATGTTTGCGGGGGGTTGGGGGAGACACAAAAGAAACACATATTACCAAAGTATTGTATGCATGTCTTGGGTGAGCCAATAATGCTCTTGATCTGATGAGAACCCTGGACAGGTCCTATGTTCAGGTCTTATGTTCTCCTCCACCTTCATTTCAGCTTAGGTTTTTTTTATAACATTCAGCATTCAATTTTCTAGGACAAGAAAGTCATAAAAGAATAGAGGAAAAATTGCCAGTGAAGCTAAGAATGCTTCTTACTTACCAAAATCTTTTTTTTTAAGTTAATTACATCCTTTTGTTGTCCTATGATAATAACCCAAAGCAGTTTTCAATTGTTAAATTAAGAACCAGCAGAACTAAAAAAAAAAAAAAATAATGCAAACAAGGCATCTGTTTGAATAGTAAAAACAATAAGAACATAAAACCATTACAAGGCAGGAAGGATGAAACTTCCAACAAAAATAAAATTACATTTCTGTACGTGATTTATGGAAGAATAGCAAAAGTGAGCACTGTATGAACTCAAGATTACCTACCTTTCAGTTCAGCCTTATAAACTACTTTATTACTGTATAATATAAAGCTGTTCAGAGTCACCTGGTTAAGTTGGGTGACTATAGAAATTAAATGAAGGAATGAATGAATCAATCAATCAATCAATCATTTTCAAAGGAAAGGAGTGTAAATGGGAGAGTCAAAAATATCAAGATGGAGATCAAAGAATGTCTCCAATGAAGCCAAGATCCCAATAGGTCTCTTCACTCTAAATTCTTTTTTTTCTCTAGAAAACATTCATTCATTCATTCATTCATTCACTGAATTTATTTGCTGCCCATCTCGTAGTAAATGACTCTGGATGGCTTGGATGACAGGGCCATCCTCCTAAAAGGATTAATATATCAATTCATAATTAATAAGTTAATGGGATTGTAATTGCTTTCCCTTAGGTTTTAGAAGAATCGAAATGCCTGGTTCGGGGTTTTCTAAAATCTGGCCTTGAAGATGTGAATGAGAAAGAATGTCAGATGTTAAAGCAGCTCTGGAGCTCTTCCAAAGGACTAGATTCGTTGTTCAGCTATCTCCAAGACAAGATCTATGAAGTTTGACATTGTTGGAGGGGAAAAAAAGGGAGAAGAATGTTCTGGGATCAAAGAGATTTCAGATGTCTCCGGGTTTGAGAAAAATCACACGAAAGCCAAAACGAAAAACCAGCAAACCCTCCCAGAGGCTTTTGTGAATGCATATCTAACATCTCTGAGGTTGCATCAGTTTCCTTGCTGAATTCAACAACTCTTCTTAGCAAGGTTGATTTTCTTTGTGGAAGGAAAGGCAGATGTATTGACCCAGCCTTTGGCAAGAATTGCATTTGAACACTCAACGTGGCTGGAGAGAAACATACATTCCATGTGCCAGAAACACTATCGGTAACCCTTTAAGGCACACCACAAATTTTACTTCTTTGGTCTTCTTCTTCTAATTATTATTAATTAACTTATTCCCGTTATTGTAAGCAGCTTGTCACGGCATCAGTCCAAATGACTCAGTTTAGAATTCAACGGTTCTAAATCATAATTGTCTGCCCGGCCTACTTTAAGAAGATGTCCATATTTTTGATTTGTTCAACCATTAACAATAGAAGATACAGTATGTGGGGTATATAATTTGTAATGGCTGATGGATAAAAGAAAACAATTTTGCAAAAAAAGAAAAACTTTCAAAATATCCTATCTGGATTGGATTGCTTTCCCCCTTTTGGTTGAATTTATTTAATTAATTTATTTGCGTTTGTGTATCTCTGTGGGCATGGGCATGGGCATGGATATGGATGGATGGATATATATTTATATATATATATATATATATATATATATATATATATATATATATATATATATATATCCATCTATCCATCCATATCTATATCTATGCGCTTCTCATAGTACTTAACCTAGACCGGATAGGTTTTGCACATGTGAATGATCTCCCTGATTGTCTTTAAAAAGATTGTGCTACATCAACAAAGACAAAAGGCAGTGAATCACATAATGCCATGGACTACTGAGGCATTTAAAAGAAAAGGGAAGAAATCCATCTGCGATTCATATTCAGAAATTGTCTTCCAAGATGGACAATATATTTGAATCATCCTTAAAGAAGAACGGTGGCGTGCCGAAACTGTGAGTGTGACACAATGAAGGGTTCCTGCTAGCCTAGAGGCTACTCCCACCTCTAAGAAGTAGAATAAAACTCTTAGAGATGCCATTGAAATGCTGCTATTAGAGCTTCTGGAATTCCTTTTATCGTCCAGCAATTGATAGCTCTTGCTTTCCATTAGAAAAATGCAGAAAGGCAGAGCTTTCCTTTGCCTCATTCTGTACTCCTTTGCCCCAATACTTTCTAGAAGTACTGGAGAGATTTTCTGTAATTGCATCAATTTAACACCTTACACCGTCGGTGAAAACCCTAGAGAAGTAATGGAAGGGCTGTGTTCTTTTTAAGTTGGCATGGCCCAATCAAGGTGCATTAAAAGGAGAACATAGACACATATGGAGCTGCTTGATGAGAAGGTTACAAAAATTGCAGAGAAAAAAAAAGGGGGGGGGGACAGAGAGTTAAATATCTCTAGGCTTAAGTCTGTTTCATGAATTCTGACTTCCGTGAGTTTTCTAACCTTTTGGTTTTCGTTTTTGTTTTTTTTCATTTTCTTCTGGTTTTTTTTTCTCTGCAATTTTTTTCCTTTTAAGTTCAATTTCTTATTAGGTGGTAGAGCTTCTAAATGGGATGTTGAATTTAAGAGAAGAGAAGCTAATATCTGCAGCTCAGGGTAGAACTGTGGAATCCTTAGTATTCTCTGAGTTTGATTATTTTCTTGCGACTAGGTAACCTCATCAGCACTGTTGATGTGATATTGAATTCGTGGAGATGGGAGAGGATTTCTTTCGTTGATTTTTTTAAAAAATGCATTTATTTAGCATTTTAATTTGGCAGGAAATCTCTGAGAATTTCTCACAAATCAGCGCCAAGTTTGGCTTCAAGCATCAAACCATGTTCTTACCAGAATGCATTGAACATATAAACCGGGATTTTCAGGAAAGGAGAAATGGAGAGTTCTTCTCTTATTCTCTACTATGGATGGCAAAGAATCTCAATAAATTCATAAATCCTTTGTTTCTGGAGTCCAACCATTCTGGACTCAGGGCTAAAATCCCTGAAGTATATAATATCAAGCAAAGGAAAATCATGGGAATGAAATATATAGCAACACATTCATTTATTGAAATAATCCTTATCGAAATGTGGTCCAGACCTTCTTCCAGAAACGCGTTGTTATGAATTAGCAGGAAAATATTCCCATGCTGGAACTTGCTTTGAATGGATAGAATTCTTGGAATCCTAAACTTCTGGATTTCCAAGCAGACCTCATTTTAAAACGTCATTTTTTTTTCACAGCTTTTTCAACATATTCTTATTTTTACATTTTCCTGGCCAATGAGTAGCTGAAAGAGGCCAAACATAATTCCTTCATAAAAAAAAAAAATCAAATTCTAAATCTTACTTTTGTAACAACAAAAAAATACATCGGTATGATTATTCTAATTTCAGGGTTTTTTTTAAAAAAAAACTTTATGGTCAGTAATTATTTTAAAGAGGTTTTTTTTTTAAAAAAAAAAAGCTTCTTCGTCTAGTTTTATCTTTCCAGTATCACTTGAGTATTTAGTTATATGGGTGTACTGTATATACTGGGTTGAATATCTTTATTAATATCCACAGTATTTAATAAAATGCAAATATTTGCTGTTAAGTATGTCATATGATTTCATGTAAATGGTTTTGTACAAATCTTTAAAAGATTCCCCAGTTTTTGCATTTGTAGATATGGAAAAGTAAGCAATTCAATTTTTTTCTGTTTGTCTTGCATGTGTGTATGTATGTATGTACGTGTGTGTGCGTGTGTATGTATGTATGTATGTATGTATGTATGTATGTATGTATATATATATATATATATATTGCTGTAAATAAAATGTGTGTTAGTTGGTGCCCTTCTGTTTCAACAAATAAGCTTGCTGATTTTAATACAGTATATATTTTCAAATATATATATATATACATATAAACTTTTTATATTTCTGTGGTAGATTAGGGTAAGCGTTCTAGGCAATCTTTTCACACGATGGTTGACTCGTCTTTTAATTCTCTAGTATTCTGAGATTGATGCCAATTGTGTTTTTTTTCCACTTAAAATAATACAGTTTTACTGTTATTAATATATGCAGGCAGATTTTTTTTTTGTTTCCTCCCTTCCTTTCTTCCAGCCTTGAAATAAATGAATTTGTAGATTTGCTGCATTTGTGAATAAGCCTTACCATTAGTTTGAAACAAAGATTGTGAACTGCATAAGGAAAATGAAGAGTCAGCTCTCTGGGATGGCAGAATAGCAAGGATGATAACATCCTTTTATAATGTGTGTATTCCAGGAGTTGTAGGCCCAACACATCTGGAGGACATGGGGTTGCAGAAGGTGGGCTTAGAACAGCTGATCCTGCCTTGCGGACATGAAACAAATGGGGGCAATTCACATTGAAACCTTCCCAACACCAAAACTGACCCCTCTTTCCAAGAATAATTTCTCTGCACCAAGTATGGACTTCAACCAACCTGTAGAACAGGGGACACCAACCTTAGTAACTTTAAGACCTGTGGACTTCAACTCCTGGAATTCTGGAAGTTGAAGTCCACAGGTCTTAAAGTTGCCAAAGTTGGGGACCCCTGCTGTAGAAGACTTGAAGAGTGGTGGTTTGAGGGAAACCATGTTCAATGGATTTCACCCCCATTCTTTTGATGAATTTTAAGAAAACCCCTTGCCTCTAACAGCTGCATTCCGACAGTTGACAAATGTAGAATGCAGGGCCGTAATGTTTTTCTAGTGAAATGGAGAATACGGGTTGTTTTAGTTGTGTGTATGTGTGTTCGTTTCAGACATAGGTAGGCTCTTTAGCATGGGCTTTGTTGTGTAGTCAGGGATGGAAGCCTCTAGCCCATGGGTCTAATCCAGGGGTCTTCAAACTTGGTCCTTTTATGACGTGTGGACTTCAGCTCCCTGAATTCCTCAGCCAGGCATGCTGGCTGAGGAATTCTGGAAGTTGAAGACCACACGTCGTAAAAGGGCCAAGTTTGAAGACCCCTGGTCTAATCTGACCAACTCTAATCTAAGCATCCTTAATCTGCTCAGGTTCTTTATGTGGCTCAATCTATAAAACTCAAACCTGGTTGAAGCCAACTCTCTTTGGGAGACCCTAAAGTTTACATAAGAGATGTAGAGACAATCTGAACTGTGCATTGAAATGCTCCACATCATAGGTGGATATATCTCTGTTCACCCCCTTAACAATATGTTTTGAAGCCGTTCTTAATACCTTTGACAATACTTTCAAACAGGATTTTGGCTTCTAGACAATAATATATTGTATGTAAATACCAAGCTTCCATTAAAAACAATAAGGACCAAAGAATTCCTTTTTTTTTTTTTCAATCCTGCTTTTGGTTGTCACATCCCCTTCGACTTGCATTTTGTATCATCTTTAATTCATTTTAGGGAAAGAAAAAAGGGCAAGGTAGCCAGAGGAAGTCTATCTGCTGGAAGAAAGAAAAAAAAAGGAAAATGAAAAATAGTTATAGGTAAGGAGGTGTCTATTGGTAAGGCTTATTACCAAACTAAATAAAGATAAAGCAGGTAACCAAAAAAGAGAGAGAAAAGAATTAAAATATAGATTTTTTTTTTCAGATACGGCCCATAAGTTATTTTGTTGTCTGAATTTCATGTTTCCAATATTTATAAAGATGAAGACTGCACAGTATGACCAATATGAGGGTATGGGGCACCCCTTAACCACAGTGTTGTAAATATTTCAGAAATTAGTTCAGTACCGAGGGATGCATATCTTCTGATATATCTGGTATCGTGACTGTGTAGATCAAATTGTACACAATTTATTTGTCCATGGTCCTGTAAACTAGTGTATGAACACATTTTTCTGGGTGCCTTAGAAGTTGTATTTTTCATGGTGTGTTAATATGCAGTATTTATACATTGTGAGAAGCTGCTTTGAATAAAAACATTCAAACTTCCCTTTGGTGGATCAATGGGGCTGTGGCAATCTGTCTCAAGGTGGAGTGACTTTTTTTGCATTTAGAATGCTTCCAGAACTGTTACCAGATTTCAGTAGCTTGATTGATTGATGATGATGATGATGATATCCATTCAGCCATATGTGACTCTTGGAGATTCTAGGTCTCTCCACATTTTCCAGTCTTGTGCTACTTCTGTTCTGGCTGGGGTGTCAGTTTTAATGGTGTCCAGCTAGCTTAAAACTTAATTTCATTTCCTTGGTTTTGGTTTACTGTTGAGGCAAAGGTGGCCTGTCAACAATCCATGGTTAAGCTAACCATAGATTATAAGAACTCTCTATACCTGTCAATGGTCAGATTAGTACATTCTTCTATGGCAAGCTAATCAAGGTTTTTTATCCATAGTTTGCTGAACAAACTATAAATAACTTTTAACAAAGTATACTAAACCATAGTTTGTAACCCAGAACAACTGGTTTTTATAGCACTTTAATTCTTGGCTAGCTACTGTTTACTACTGAACTAACCCAATTGCTTAGATTTATACAATGTACTTGACAATGTTCATAGAATGGGCTTAGCTATAGTTAATTGAACCATGTCCCAAACGTGCTTTTTCAAAAGGCAACTGGACTTTCTTCATTTTTTCTTGAAGGATGTTTCGCTTCTCATCCAAGAAGCTTCTTCAGAACTGATCTAAAGGATTCCCTCGGCATTCTTTAGATCATGCCAAATAACTGAAAAGCATCCAGATCCCACCGCTTGCAAGGCGTTTTTATTACTGCAAATTAAATATGTTTTCAGGAGACAGAAGGTGCTTTTTCCATTGACCTCATGGTGTCCAAATAGCCACTTCGCCAGTTCTAACCTTCTGGTCAAGCCTCCCTCAATCTCCGCTGCATCTCCTTTGCATGTTCGTGGCTCTTGGCACGGTTGGCTTCATACTGGAAGGAAAGGAAGGCAGGATACCAAATGAAAAACGACAGAATCTGGAAGTCTGAGAGAGCTGGCCAACATCAGCTCAGCTGTCTTGATATAAGCCACAATTTTATACTGTGTCATGATGCTGCCATGCCTAATAATTATGCAATTTGCATCATTTGGGTGACAATGTCTCGGTGAATATGAGAACACCGGGTCCCAATAGAGTCACTTAGTCGCCAGGTTTACTAAACTGACAAGCTGACAAGATTATCAATATCCCCATTCCCAATTTTTTTTACCTCTTTCTTTAGGCATTTCCTCATTGCTCTGTCAATATCATTGCAATGGCCAAAAAACTTCAAGAAAGAATGCTGGAAGGGAGAAGAAAAAGAACAATTGTTGTTGTTAAAAAGGGGGGGAGAAACCCATCCCAAATAATATTCTAGAATCTCTAGTGTTACTACTTCCTATGCCAACAGTGTATTTTTTTTTTAATTAAAGTATTCAGTTATCAAGCAAGGAGAGAAGCAAAGACATTGCAAAATCAACCTCCAGCATTAAATTATTTAAAAAATATGTATTTTTTTTTAATTTTCTTCCAAGAAAATAATAGCAGTTGCTAAATTAAAAGGTCAATTGTTTCATCCTATTCTCTACAAAGGTGACATGTTGTTTAATATATGTTGAATTTTCACTTTGGTGCCATTAGTCGGCAAAAGGTTGTTCTTGAGCTGCTAAAATAAAGCCTTCACTTTCTTTCTTTAATATGCCTGTTCTTAACCAGCTTCATGTGGGGTTTTTAGCGGCTTTCCCTTCCATATCCTTCAAGTATTTCATTATAGTATTATTACTATATTTTATTATAGTATTATAGCATGGCATCTGGCATGCTGGGGTCCATGGGGTTGTGAAGACTTGGACATGACTTAGCGACTGAATAAAATTATAGTATAGCATTATAGTATTACTACTAATAATATCACTACTACTAATTTCATTATAGTATTACTACTACTAACGGTATTAGCCACCTCACTTCAAAAGATGCTGGGCAACTTACAACTTCCAATGCACAATTAAAAACATCAAAACCAAGAAAAGCCTGGGCAAAATCAGTCAAAACAAAAATTACAGAGACTCCATTCACCTTCAACATTGCCCTTCAAATCTGAATCTTGGCACACATCTAGTAATTAGCAGTATAATCTCCTTTCAATACACCTGTAACTAACTGGAAGGGGCACGTGGAACATGTAAATATGCTGCCTTTAGACTGAGATGAATTCCTGCTGGAGCTGAAAATGTTTTCTCAGCTGGTACTTTCTCAGGTGATACCGAGCTGGCAATATTCCCCGTTAAGTTGGAGAAAATATCCAATGCATGACAAACAAATAATAGACATTGTTCTCTTGGAAGCACACCGGTCATTTTTAAGTCAAACAAAAAGTAACGTTGTTTTTTGTCAGACCTGGAGAGAGTAAAGAACTACCATTTATTTGCAAGCGGTAAATCTTGCAACGTCCAGGGAAAATGTGATTCTTCTTCTATCGAAATATACTGTAGCTGATAAAGTTGTTTAACCCAGGATCTACAACTGACCAAATAATTCCAAAGACTCAGGAAGGATTTTGGGGTTTGGGGGGATAATGCCTATCCACCCTCCAGTCAGAGGACCTTTGACAAAAGAGCCATTTTTCGCCAATACAATACAGGAATTTGCTTTTTTAAAAAAATCTCAATGAGAATTTGGGAGTTCCTGAAGTATGTTTGACTCCTTTGTTTGGTTCAGAAGACAGAAGTCATTGAAAAGACAGGAAGCGGTTGGCAGTTCTATTGCCTTCAGTCTGGATAGGCTAACATTTATACATGCATTATCACGATGGAACACACAATTCGTGGAAACAGAAGTTTTCTTCCGTTTCAACCAGCCCTAAAAACCATTGGTACCAAGAACGTAAAAGCCTAAGCAAAGCGTTCCTGTTGAGAATGGGAAGTATACAGAGGATAAAAGGCTTTATTTACAAAAGGAAGGATGAAGAAAAAGCACCTTCCTCCTCTCTTCTCCCTGGACCGTTCAAAAAATATTTTCACAAGTGCTGTGGAAGGTAAATTACATATAATAATTCAAGCATACTATCCTTTTCCCCCCAGTTCTGGACATATCTCAGGATAATGGAATGCTATGAGCTTTGCTGGACCAGCCATTCCTAAAACTGATCCCAAACATGGTTGGGGAAAAAATGCCCTTTAGTTCTTCTAACACTGGATCACTGTCCATGGTTTACTGGAAGAATTCCTACAGCAACTGAAAGGAATTTTTTTTTGAGTCTGGATCTGTCTTTCCACCCCATGAAACAAAGGACTCTTAAGACTCTAAGCTCCGTTCAGGTAAGAAGAGAATCAAAGCTTCAAGGACTTCACAAGGGTATCACACCTCATGTGACTTCCCGCTACAGGTCTGGGATAAATTTTTGTTTATAAGCATAATAAAAGCTCACGTTGTTCAAGTGATAAAGAAATTGTAGCAGGCGAAGCTCTATTTGTAAATTATCGGTACAAAGGAAGCAATCTCTTTTTAGTCACAGACATTCAAAGAGCCAAGGTTGCCTACCCCTGGACCTAGGCATCCTGGTGTGTAACAAAGGCAACAAAAACCAAGCTTTGTTGTAAAGACATTCCTAGCAACATTCTGTGTGCTCTTGAGGCAGCAAGGAATAGGCAGAACTTTCTAGAAAAAGTTAGCTATCATGTGGTACTACCAGCAAATGTCAATCTTGTCTAAGAACAGGATAACAAGATCTGTGGAGATGTAGCAGCATTCTGGATTCTTTCAGAGTCTTACCTCCTTGTGGCACTTTTGAAGTTGACGGATGATAATGTTACACTCTTCAGTATGTAGATGAGGTGACAAGTTCGGATGCATCACGAGTTAGGAACCACTCATCCCAAAGAAAAAAAAAACATAGGGTCTTCCTCCTGTCAATATTTGATATCAATCATGTTGAATGTCATGCCATCTTGTTCTGAGCACATTTGTTAGGAACGGCAATGTTATTGGAACCGAGACATGGCCGTAAAGCATTTCCACGTGCAGGTGACTCAGCAGCATGTTCTACCAGCTTCCTGCCATATGAAGGATACTCCTCAGTCTATTCCAAGGGTAGTCAACCTTGGCTCTTTTATGACTCATGGACTTCAATTCCCAGAATTCCTGAGCCAGAATTCTGGGAGTTGAAGTCCACGAGTCATAAAAGACCCAAGGTTGACTATCCCTGGTCTATTCCAAAGCAGTGGAAGAACTGGCCTGTGGTCATTCAGGAAATACAGACAGGTTTTCAAATGGGGTTGACTTAAAAGGCAACCTGATCCAGCCAACCTTCTGGAAAGTCTCAGAAAGTTGCTGAAACAACAGCTCTTCCTGGATAAGTTCCAGCCAGCATTAACCACTACAGTACAGTATGACAGGACCTGTCCAGGGTCCTGATATTTTTCTTTTAAAGACCACATAAATCAAAGCCCTGCCCTTCCAGTAAGTTTTGCTATTGTAAACTGTGTCCCTTGAAATAGTTAAACTACCTGGTGCACGATACAGCTACAAAAATCCCATAGAATAAAGTTGAGGGCCAGATTTGCTTGTAATCTTACAAGCTTAGGAGAGTCCATAAAGTAAAGACCCCAAGTCTAGCTTGATAGACATGATAGTACTCTTCCAATATTTAAAGGGCTACCACAAAGAAGAGGGGGTCAATCTGTTCTCCAAAGCACACGAAGGCAGGACAAGTAGCGAGAATGGAAACATCAAGGAGAAATCCAACCTAGAACTAAGGAGAAATTCCCTGATAGTGAGAACAATTAACCAGTGGAACGACTTGCCTCCAGTAGTAGTAGTAGTAGTAATGGTGGTAGTAGTAGGAAGAAGAAGAAGGAGGAGGAGGAGAAGGAGAAGTAGTAGTAGTAGTAGTAGTAGTAGTAGTAGTAGTAGTTGGAAGAGACCTTGGAAGTCATCTAGTCCAACCCCCTGCTCAGGCAGGAAACCCTATACCATTTCGTACAAATGGCTATCCAGTTTCTTCTTAAAAACTTCCAGTGTTGGCGCATTCACCGCTTCTGGAGGCAGGTTGTTCCACTGGTTAATTGTTCTAACTGTCAGGAAGTTTCTCCTTAGTTCTAGGTTGCTTCTCTCCTTGACTAGTTTCCATCCGTTGCTTCTTGTGGATGCTCAATCACTGGAGGTTTTTAAAAAGAGATTCAACAACCATTTGTCTGAAATGGCATAGGATCTCTTGTTTGAGCAGGGAGTTGGACTAGAAGACCTGCAAGCTCCCTTCCAGCTCTGTTATTCTGTTATTGTTATTGGGCTTAAAATTGCAGCACCTGCAGAATATCACATTGGGAGCATTTGAGCTGCTTTTGAGCCAATTGGCAAAGAGTTTTTCCTTCTGCTTTTAGGGCTGAGGAAATCATTTATCCAGTAAAAGGAGTTATTTGTGAGTAGGAAACGAGCAATAGCTATTCTCTGGGGAGAAAATAATTTCTCTGCTTATTTATTTTTTTCATATTGCCATCACACCTGGACTGGACATTTATTCAATGTGGCTGAGCTGGGCTGTATTCATCTCAGTTTACGCCACTAACAAATTAATATATAAATAGCCACAAGGTGGCGAGGCAGCAAGCAGAATAGATTATCCAGTGCCATTTTCTTGTAAGTATTAATATGTACAACTGTGTAAAAGTAATAATTATATTTGAATAAGAGGCTTAAAAAAATAGTTGTCCTATTTTATATATATATACATTTTTGTCAGGATTATTTGATCCCTAATAAAGTGGTACCATATTAAGTACTTTATGTTCAGTTATAGCACAAGACTATTTATGTGACAAAATTAAATATTCATACAGGCTTCCATACAGCATGCTGCACAGAGTAATCAGGGGTTTTCCACAGAATATATGATTCATTCAAGCTTTATTAGTAATAAGCATCTTAGTGGAAAAATTCTAATTCACAACTGAGATAACTAATATGATTCAAATGATGCATGAAATCTACTTCTAGATTTGCAGAAAGTAAACAGAACAATGAAAATAGAAAATCACAGTAATAAAGAGTGCTTTTCCTTCCATTTATTTGGTGTTTAACACTACTTCTAGGATTCGATATTTCTGCTATAAAGTTGTCTATTAACAATGAAAGTCAAGAAATCTACTCAGTAATTTGAAATCTAAAGCTGCTTTTCTTACGTTGTTTGTTAAGAAGTGAAGTTAGATAAAATGACGTTGCTTTAGGAATCTAATTTACAAAACCAAACCATCCTATTTCCTGACTATTTAATTGCAGTAGTAACGCTGTTCACATTACAGATCCCGCTCTTTCTAAAATCTACCTAAGGACTGGAAGGATCAAATTCAGGATTAGCTATAAGCAAAGTGTGTAGAGGTCTTTGCTTAATGGCCAGGTGCTTAGTAACCCTTCAAAGTTACAACGGACTCCAAAAGGTATCACCCCAATGGTCATTATGATGCATTTCAGGTTTTGGGCAGCTGGTTCTCCTTTACACCCAGTTACAGTGTTCCATGGTTATGTGATGCGATTCAAACTTTCCAACAAAAACACCACAGAAATGCATTGACTCCTTAACAACCATAGCATTCTGCCAAAAAAGGTTGTAAAATTGGGATAGTCACATGGGTGCTTCGACTTATGATCATCATGACTTACAACCTTCATGACTTACACTGGAAATTCTGGGCTCCATTACAGTTATTAGTCAGGGACCAACTGTATATGTTTTTATCCTTCTGAGTAAGAACGAATAGAATCGCATTGCAAATCCATCCGTGTTGATGAATAACAAGCAAATTTAAAGTTCCTTCAATCCAAGTTTATTCTCAGTTTAATATCTGGTGCCTGAAAGATGCATCACAGTCTTAATATTACTAAAACAGATGGATATAATGCCTAATGTCCTTTGTTCTGCAATTTCATCTACAGTATCTTCAGCTGATTTATGTATATTCCCACCTTTCATTTCAAGGGTGCCTTCCAGAACATTTATTCAAATAGAACAGACGCACACACATCTAATTTAATTGTATAACTTCATTATATAAATATATATAAAAAGAAATCATTACTATTTCCTCTCCCTCGCATTTACCTCCCACAATTGCATTTACACTTCGGCTCCCCCACCGCTTTTCACCCCTATTTAAGTTAATAAAAATTACTTAACGCTGAAATAGTAAATTAAAAGACCTTACCCAGGAAGTGCATAACCCGGAAGCGAGCGTCTCTCCATCCGGAAGTTATTCTCGGAGTCGAGTGAGTCACACGCCGAGGTTTCTACTCCCCCCCCCCAAATCGAGCGCAAGGACCACAGCGGAGGTGGAGACTTCCAGAGCGTGACACAAGCACGAATGTCGCCGCCTTGGGGAGGAGTCGCGTTGGGATTGGCTGATTGGGCGCGGAGGAGGCGGCCGATTGGGCAATTGGAAAGGGAGGGACCAAGTCAGTCCCGAGGCGGCGATTGGGTGAATTCGAATGGGTGCGCCAGGGGTTTGGGCGGCAAATGTCCTGAGGAGAAAGAAAGAGACCCCAAAATGGCTCCGAAGCGGCGGCTGCGGAACAGCGGCGGGCAGGATCCCCCGTCGAAGTGAGTTGGGCATGAGTGGCAACGGGAGGGAGGACTGCCACGAATCCCGTGTGTGTGTGTGTGTGTTCTCGTCCTCACAACGACCCTGCGAGGTCGGCCTGCGCCGGCACGGAGAATGAAGCGGCGAGGGTGGGCTGCCTCTTTCTACGTGGGGTGAACTTTCTCTCCAGCTGTCGTGTGTGGGGGAGAGAGACGTGGAAATGCAGGGGGCAGGACCTGAGTAACCTCATCCGGGCTCAGAAGGTCCCTGCGTGGATGGGAGACCACCAGGAAATCCCAGGCTTGACGGGGATGCTGAACATTATTCTGAGAGGAGGCCGTGAAAAATAGAATGGAATTAGAATAATAACTTTATTGTCGCTTTGAAGGTACACAAATTGGCACACATTAAAATGAAATTTTGTTGCATTCAGCTCTCGAAAGGGTCACCACCTCCGATGACCTCCGATATGCACTACATAAATATGACAAAAATAAATAAATACAGAATTATGCATATACCCACAGGTATGACACACAGAAACAACAGTGGAAAATAAGGTGTACATTTTTGCTAAGAAAACGACCTTATTGGGTTCAAGTAGCCACCAGGAGTCGGGCTTAACTGGAGTCCTTGATTCTATGTGGGTTTGTTTGGAGGAAGGTCTGTAAATGTTGATTCTAGTCTCTTTGCCAGCATTCTGGGGATTAGGCCAGAATCAACCCGCCAGATCTGCTAAAATCCAGCATCTGAATGGAAAGGACTTGCCCTCTTTTCATATATGTACTTAGTTGCTGGTTTTCAGAAGTTGCCTCTTTGCAAAGTTACTCCAAGGAATAGCGAAGATAAATTGAAAGAGTGTATTGTGCTCAGGTGCTTGAAGGAAATTATGTTAATAAGAACACTAGTGTACTTTATCCCTAGAAGATGAATAATTCTAAAAGCACTTTACCACTGCAGTGTATTACATCCTGGTTGTTGTTGTTGTTAATTGCGAAGTCGTGTCCGACCCATCGCGACCCCATGGACAATGTTCCTCCAGGTCTTCCTGGTAACGAAGTATTAATGTGTTTTCTGAAGCAGTTTGATGTAGTCAAAGTGTAGAGGCATCTTTTAGTCTCTTGGGTAGGTGTGACTTTTGAATAACTATACTCTTTGAATATTCCCTATGTAGCAGACAACAGGAAAGTTTTGGAGGATATAATGGGCAAAGAGCTGTGCCAGTAAGTTTAGGAGAAAAATACTATAGTTCCTTTTCCAAACCTTAAAAGAAATAAACTTTGTAAAAAAAATTAATCCCAAAATTGAAATTGTGCTCATCTTATTATATCAAGAAAACTATTGCCTATCAATATCTTAAAATTACTGTTAAGTTCTACAATTGCATTCTGCAGTGTAAATAGAAATGTACATTCTGTACGGTGATATTTATAATGGTATAGATGTCTTTTCTTAGTCTTGCTTTTGATACACGTATGTGTCTTCAAGTTGTCTTGTATATCATTTTAGGATGAGATGTCCAGAGTCCTTATTATGAAAGTCCGTACAGCACAAGACTTGCCACTTGTTATGAACCTTTTTTCTATTATCCACTAGCTGCACTGTACTGTATAGAATTAAAATGCAATTCTTTTAAGAACAAAATTCTTATCTTAATTTTGTAGGGTCTTCATCATAGATGAAACAGTAGCTGAATATATTAGAAGAACTGTGCTGCGAATACCACGTTCAGAAACATCAAAAATGCTGGCTTCCTGGGGGTTTCTGTCCGAGACTCAACTTCAGTCTTTAAAAATTCATCATTTTAAGGAAAACCTATCTCAAGCAGTTGTTGAACTTTGTGAGGTAACAGCAAAGTACAAATGCTTTTATGTCATCTCTTTGAAAAATATATTAATATATATTATAACAAAGCTTCCCTTTTCATTATTATAAAGATGTAATTATCTGGAAAATATAGAATTGCATATGTTTACAGTTGCTCTTAATAAGATTATGTTCATAGGACACACTGAATAGCTATCCTCATTTTAGCCTAGTATTTCTGCAAAGTCATCCTAAGTTAGTCATTTAGTTTATTCTTTATACATTCAAGGTAGCTTAGAATTTATATATATATAAGGGTTAAAAACATTTATTGCTGGTGGGGGTTTTTTCTATAAATTATCTCCCATAAAAAAATAATAAACTCAATTAAATTCTGAACTGACAGAGTGGATGAAAACAATTTTCCTGAAGTAGACAAGTAATATATAACAATCTTTTGAAGTCGATAAAATAATGTAAAGTGGAACCTCATTTTTAAAGACTAATTGCAATGAATGGATTCTTATTGTTTGCAACATAGATTGTGAGCATACATTATTTCAGTGTCATTCACATGTCTAATACAATTCTGATTCATTTCACTCAAAAATTTAAATTGAGACAAGTTCAATGATATTCCTCTGTTAAATATTTAACTGTTTTAATGTCTTATAATATTCAATATTGTTCCAATCTCAATAATATTGTATTAATATAATTGTAATATTGTTCATAACTCTTTGTCTTAAAGGAGAACCAGGCAACTATCAAAGAAGCAGCAGAGTTAGACTTAATTTGTAAGTAGAATCTTTTGTTTAAAGAGAGAGGAAGAGTAAACAGTCGTTTTTTTCTTTAATCTAAATCAATTGTATTATAAATTAAGTTCATTTGATGGGATTGATGTGTATCTTTTATATGATACAATTTTAAAAGCAGTTTCACTTTTTTTAAAATACAAGATTGTTGTTTTCACTGCACAATATTCCATTGTAAATGTAATGTTTGGGAGAAGATGGAAGGAACTTCTCCAATCCATTGTTGGTAATTAAATTTATTAAATAAACAATCTCCCCAAAAATTGTTACTGCAATTTAAAATCTAAATTTTTAATAGAAAAAAGAATGATTATTCTACTTACATCACTTATTTATTTATTTATTCAGAGATAATACATTGAGGTTTGATTAGTCCCATATAATAGGATTACAAGGTGTTTGATACTCGCATTTTATATAGTTCATAATCTGAATCTGAATTTTTAGCTAACTAAGGAGATAGTTCCCTTGGATTTAATTTTGATATGTAGCTTGTTCACTTTTTCAAAAAACTGCATCATCTCTAATAATCTTGCGACCTGAAAACACATACTTTAATCTTCTGTTGGATGTTACAAAACTTATTTATAAGGAAGTTAATAACTTCTTAGACAACGAGTAAAGAATATAAATAAATTAGCTCCCATTAATGTGAAAATTAGCTAAATGTAAAAAATAATAATACTGATATTTTTTATTGGGAAAGGGCTTTTTCATGATACCGTTGGAGTTTTTATTAAGTTACTATATTACTAAATTAGTAGCCACTCAGTTTGTGATGGGTTTTTTTTTTTTAGACAACTACACCTATCAAGACAAAAAGAACTGGATTGCTTACCAAATGACTAAAGGTAAGTACTCACAACTTACCTTTGTTATTCTAAAAATAATTGACATACTTTGAATATATGTTTTGAATTAATATAGTAGAATTCTTTCCATTATGTTATTTTGAAACCTTTACAGTTAGAACAATAGAGATATTTTTCTTAACGGAAATAATCACATTTTCATTAGTATGTTTGATTCAGCCAGTCACATACGTATAGTCCTCAATGTATGATCACAACTGAGCCCAAAATTTCATTTTTCATACTAAGCGAGATAGTTGTTAAGTGGGTTTTTCCCCATTTTACGACCTTTCTTGCCACAGTTAAGTTAGTAACATGACTGTTAAGTGATTCTGGCTTCCCCATTGACTTTGCTTGTCAGAAAGTCACAAAAGAAAATCACATGACTCCAGGACACTGCAACCACCATAAATACGAAGTAATTGCCAAGTGTCTCTTTTGATCATGTGACCATGGGGATGCTGCAATGGTTGTATGAAAAATGATCATAAATCACTTTCCGATGCTGTTGTAACGTTGAACACTCACTAAATGAATATTATAACTCGAGGACTACTAGTATTCTCAGTCCAACTTACTTCACAGGTTTGGAAAGATACAATGGATAGTTTTTCCCAAAGTTTTTAGAAAACTAACTCCTGGGAAATAAGGGAATATAAATCAAATGAATACATATTATTATGATATTAAACTGAAAAAAATGCCTAGCATAAAAACCAATGCATTTTAGCCAAAAGATAATGTGAGTTAAAAACACTTCACCTTAAATCAGACACTTTTTCCTATTAATAAAACTGCCTAGACTGAGGCTTGTATTTAGTCTTATGGCCAAAGGATAAAAGAAACTTGTGCTGCAGTTGCCTTGCTATTAATCCCACTTGTATTGATATCTTTCAGCTGTGGTGGCTTGCTTGTTCTAAAGCAGGGGTCCCCAAGCCCCCGGGCTGCAGCCCACTACTGCACTGTGAGCTGTTTGGAACCAAGCCATAGAAGTGGCAGGCAGACATCCGGGCACAACTCCATTTGCATGACCAGCTGCCAAGTGCATGCTCATGTGCTCCATTTGCATGGGTGCGTGTGGCCATCACCACGTAAATGGAGCTGTGCAAGCGCTTGCTGACCACTCAACGTGGAACCATCTCCTCTGTCTCCCCCGCCAGTCCGCAAAGCCAAAAACCTTGGGGAACTCGGTTCTAAAGCAAAATCAGTTGTTTGATACTTCAAAGATTGAAGTATTAGCTATGTCATCCATCAGTACTGACCTTTTTGGAGGCCCA